TAGGGGTGGGGGAGGGGGGAGGGGGGGGACGTGGTTTTTACAAGATTACAACTCTTATTTCAAAAACAGTTTTTTCTTTTATTCGGAACAACACATTTTCACCACACATATGCTTAAAAAGTTGATCCTCTTTTCTCTGATTTTTGTTTCTTTTTGCCATAAAAAAACAACCCACATTTGGAGTATTAAAAATCCATTTATGTATTTAAATACATTTTCATTTCAAAAGATAATCAATAAGACTGCTGTTAATTCATAATCATGAAATTTTCTTCCTTCGGTATTTTGGTCGATTACTTGGCGTTGACAGCCATCAATGCTTGGTCCAAACACGTCATTAATCGATGGACGTCTCCAAAGGAATTGAACAGGGGAGCAATGGCAAAACGTATCACGGAAGATTTTCTGATGGTACACTGAAAAATAATTTATTAGAATTGTCATTGCATTTGATACAACGATAATGCATTTTAGTAGGGATGTTACGATGAAAGTGCGATATAATTTTGTGGACACATTAACGCGCGAGATCAATGTCTAGTTGACATTAAAATTCAGTAAATTCCAGGTTTTTTTAAGCATAAGGAACAAATCAAAATGATAATTTCTAATCGCATGCGCCATGAGCACTGTTTAATTATTTTTCATTGTTTAGCTTATATTGGTGATGTAATACTATGACAGGTGAGTTTACACGACACTTTTGCACTGAAGTTCAAATTCTTCTCAAGAACCAATGTTTTACGTATATTTACCACTACACCCCTCTTTTCAAGCTCTTTAAAAATAGCAGCGACATCCTGATTTGGGAACGTAATAGACATTTGGTTTCCGCGTTGTTCCGGATCAGACGGTGTGATGATGTTGATAACTGACGTGAGAGGTTTGTTAGTGCTGCATTTATTTCTCAGAAGGATAAGGTACTCCATGTAAGCAATCATCAGTTTTGATTTAGTGCGAATCTCCCCCATAGTCGTCTTGTTGAAAATCTGAAAATGGAATAAAAAACAAACTCTAATGTTACAGGTTGAGACAAATTTAATTTTATCTATTAACAATTAAATTCGGAACTCATTTATTGTAAAAAGTTGACGAAATCTCATAAACATGGTATGAATAATTGACAAAACGCCCTTGTCCCTTCGTTGTTTAACCAATTTCTTCATAAACGCGTCTCACGAATTAATTTTGCCGTTATGTTTCGTTTTAATGTATACAGTATTAATCAATATGCAGTTCTATCATTATTTCCTTCATAAATTTGATTACTTTGATTAATTGATGATTTTTTTTTTGATTTTTTTGATTTTTTCTTTTAATTAAATAATGTATCGTTCATAATACTTACTTGAAGACTGGCTCTGAGAGACGCACATAATAAAGGGGGTGGATTTGTGACTCTGTAGCCTCGAGCCCCAGGGGTTAGATTCATATCTGCAAAATAAAAAAACTCAGTTCAATATAAGGAAATTAGAAAAATAATAGAATATCCGAAAAATAATTGTATTACCTGTTGATTTTTTAATCCTTTGTAAACAGAGACTATGTTTAATTACCTTCATAATACGACTTAATGACAGTATTCGTCAGCGTAAAGGATGCTTCCTGAAGTGTTTAAAAAGACTAATTTATTTGAAAAGTTGTCAGTTATTGCCAACATTTCTCACTGTGTGCTTATATGGCACCTGGCAAGAAAATAAAGAATTCTTTCAAATTTCGTTAGATACATTGTATAGCCACAAAAAGCATGGTTCCATAAATTAAAGCTCTTCTAATGATTATGAATTGCTGTACTGCCATGGTTAGATTGGACATAATGTTGATGAAATGATTTGTAGGTCAAATTTACACAGTTTTGATACCAAATGTTGCGTTTTCTCGATTTCATCAGCAAGTTTGAAAATCTGGCTTGTTAGAATGATGAAAATATGCGCTAGGCAAGTTCTTAATAAAGCATTGGACTGTTTTTGTATGTTATTTATGATCTATTTGAATGGCACAGCTTTGCAAGCTAACATCATAATGCGCTAGCGCGTATTATGATTTGTTCAAGTAGATCATAAATACCATACAAAAACAGTTCAATATTTATATTTATGTTTTCTCTGCCTTTTATGTTCTTTTCTAACTTACAATGTATATTTTAAATTTTAAATTCCCGCCTTATCGACAGTCCACACAAATTCGTTCAATAGTTGGAACAGCATGTTGTCGCGTGCTGATTGGCAAACAAAGTAGTACTTTGAACTTTTAACAAACACATCAATTTTAGTCCACGATTCACTATCAATACACTTGGGTATGATATGTATATAGAGTGATTTAAGTTTATCAATAGAAATCTGAGCTGAATGGAAGATTTGAAATTGTTTCGACTTGTCCCCTTCACAAATTTCGCGCATGGATAAATATATACTGTGAACACCGTAAATCCGACCTTGCCCTCCACGAGGGAGATATTTTTGTAAGTTGAATGAGTAGAGAGAAAAGTTCGAATTTGTGAAGAATCCAGGCGTGAATTTATTTGATGATTGTATGGGAACCTGACTACAGTCGGTAGATTTTACAAAAGCATCGTTATTTGACATGTCGTTAGAAACTGAGGAAACCGTGGCTGAGAGACGCGTGATACTGATAGAGTTTGAAGTGAGTGATCTTGCGACGGAGCACATGCGTTCGTTACAAATGTCTTAAATACATATATGCCTTGTGTATGTTTATGTGTGCTGTGACTCAAAACAGTAGTTCTATAGCATATGTGTATTTCAGACATTTGTAACGAACCCCTGTTGATCAGTGCAATGTAACAGACGATATTTCTGATAAATTGAATGAATGTTAAAGTTGTTTATTATGCCGCCATTGGTTATTTCAACCTATGTGGATTTTGTACGATATCGTAGACCTTAGTCTTGTTTTGTTGTAATACAAGTGTTTTTTTTTAATATTGTCTTTTTTTTGGCACATTTAAAATTACATTGCCCAGCGATATTTCAGTAGCCGTCTTGTTTATTTACATTGGATATGGTAGTTCCGGTCGGTGTTGTATTAATACGCTAAGAATTATGTCTCGTGGTGCGTGGTATTTAAAGTCCCATCAACGACACAGCTTTCAAATAGCTTATATAGTGACAATATCATGCAAATGTAAATATTGCAATATAGATACCAGATTTTTAAAAATTGCAGGTCAGTGACCCTGCTTTCGTACACGCCATATTGCTCCTCTGAGATGTACCTACATGCATGTTGATGATATCATAGAGTCAAAAGATCAGAACAGAAAACTGTGGTACACCAGTAACAGGGTCAGGTGGATTGATGGACGGACATGGAGCATTACCTAGTGCTTGCTCCACAAACCAGAAAGAAAATATAATGTCAAAAGAAAAAATATATATATAAAATTAACTTACTGTTATCCATTATGAATCTGCTCTCAATTTTCTGTCCCCACCAGCCCAGAAGTTTAGGGAAATCGTTTTGTTCGTGCGTCCTGTGTAGAAATATGCACCCTAGACACCCAGCGCTCGCGTTTATGTACTGAAATCAATGCATAGAAAATGGTTTAACATAAAAACACAACATATCCAAGAAAAAACAATTAAACAACATGTGACACCCAACATGACATAAAATACACGAAAATATGTAGGTAACCAAAGATGTGGGATTTAACAACTTTTTGATAATTTAATGCATTGACTGAATTCTTATAGAGAGAAATAAGGTCATTATATCGACCATGCGACTTATTCAGCTCCAACAGAGAACAGGATGAAGTGTAACATTAACTGTTTGTGGGTCAACAGGAGCTCATCTGTGATGGAAATCCTGATAATTAGAACACGTTTCTGAGTAGCAAAACAGCTGCAACATGGTCGCCCAACCAGCGTGAGAGTTAACTCTGCACAAAGGAAAATTATCATCAGATGTTCTCAATATCATATATTATATTTTTTTACCAGGTATTTCTTTAAAATATTATAACAAACATTATTTAAGTTAATCGGTGAAACACAAAATTACATACTCAGATATATATGCAGACCACACACTTGTGTTTTTCTAACGAATCAGAAAGCACGAGTTTATTGCGCGGACGAATATATACGGCCGCGCAATAAATGAGTGTTTTCTGATTCGTTAGAAAAACACAAGTGTGTGGTCTTGCTTGTATCACATACTTTCCATATTTGGTAGAGATCGATACAAAGATTTTATAAACTTTTGTATTTTTTGCAAATACCGGGAACTTTTCCGTTCGCTATGACAAGGGGATTCCCATAAACAGTAGTTCCACCTAGTAGGTAAATACAACATTCCGTATTGCAAATGTGCATTACAGAACATTGTATTTCATGGTCTGAAACTTGCTTGTATTACTATAACAAGATTCAACAGGTATGTGATAAATAGGCAGTCGTACTTTACGCGAAGTTTATCAAGAAATGAAATAGCTAATTAAGTCACCTTATATAAGGAGCAAGAGAGAATGCAAATGCTACAAACAAGATAGAAACTAAAACTGAAATGTAACACCCCCCCCCCCCCCCCCCCCCCCCCAAAAAAGAAAAAAAAGAAGAGGAATTTTAAACACCCCAAAACAAATGGAACCAATGAAAAGTGCATGCTATACCTCGAACGGAATTCGAAATGAGTTCTGTTGAAAATAACATTGTATTTATAATTCAGCTGAAAAAATGGATTACACTCGCGATTTTGAAATGCAAACGTGCATCTAGAACTGTTTCGAGAGGTTTAAGTTCATGAATGCTTTTTAGATAAGTTGATTTCCCTCCCTCAAGTCGTTTGAAATACATTAATATAGCTCTTCTTCGTTTTATTTAGACCGATTAAATGAATCTTACATTCCTTTAGTATCTGCTTTTTCAAAATGACCAATTCCTCACGAAAAGCAGCAACTGTACAGTTTGTAAATGTTGTGTTACCTTGTAAGTACACCAGCAAGCAAAGTCAACTTTCCAGTCATGTAGATAGAGGGGTACATTACCGACAGCATGGGCAATATCGAACCCAACATAACACCCCTGCAAAAGATAATGAAAAGTACTCTCCGTACAAACAATTGGTGACCGGGACACCCCACATTATCTATCAAAGGATAGATAATTCTGAATAGTATTTCCTGTAAATTATTTCACAGATTCGATTCGGATAATCTACTACATGCCTAATGTTAAAAAAATGAATATGAAATTGGAAATATTCGGCGCAGCAAGAGTCGAAGTAGCAATGACGAGTGATAGGGTATTCAGTTAACAATGCAAACATACTATTTACTCATTTTTAAAGAAATCGAACAGTCGTAAAACATACATAACAAACACAAATATTAGAGACAACTAATCACAACACTGTATAAACCATATTTATACACCAAAATGTCATATATGAAACTGCATTATTTAGTGACACAGTTGACAAATAGCAATAATATATCGTAAGGGACTAAAAGTGCATGCATATTGATCTTATACTGTATTCCAACATCCCAATTTGCCTACTCTAGGTGAATGTATCAAATGAAATCTTTATAATATAGAAATTGTGTATAATTTAATCCATTATAAATCCAAGACCAAATATCAGCCTAAGGCCCTCACAGGAATATGGGGTATATTATGTAAAACTCCGTATAAGAACCTCAGTTGACACTATATGTATGGATTATGAAGTATGTACTTTCTAACTTACAAAATAAGTTATGTTAATTTCATCCCACGTACATGCAAATATAAGTTTACAAAGTTGGACATTGAAGCAATAAATGTGTATTACTTTATTATGCCCAGCTTCAGTTATAGCCTGCATGTCCAGGACTTGACCGGTAAGGAACTGTGCGCCTCCAAAACAGATCACCGCTACTGATTCCCCCTCCTTCTCTATCATTGCGAGGATGTCATCCGTTCTCAAGTTCATCTCACCCTGAAATGCACGCGTATTGTTTATACTACAACAACAACAACAACAACAACAACAACAACAACAACAACAACAACAACAACAACAACAACAATAATAACACAGCTAACAAAAGGCCAAGATGACCTGGATCGCTCACCTAGATATCTGATCAATCATAGCAAAGTATTTTCCAAATGAGATCCCAGGAATAGGGCCATACAAAAAATGCTAATCCTTGTAGCATATCTGTATTCAATTTGTCATTCCCAGCAATTTATGTCCCTAGGTTTGTGGTCAGACCCCTGGGTCAATTATAATATCATTACTGCATTCATCTCTTTACGCCCAGCAATTTTATATACGGGTTTGGGGTGGGGATCACATCCATTTCAAAGCTATTGCCCAGGGAATAAGAACATGGGGCCATCCGGGAAGCGTATGTGCATTCGTCTCTTTATATTCAGGAATTGTAAATAATGTTATAGTGTGGGGATCTCAACTGTTTCCAAGTTGTGACTCAGAACCTAGGTCTTAAGGGGTGTGGCCAGACCTAAGGGTCAATACTAATATCATGATCAGGATCTAAACCATTTCAAAGCTATGACCCAGGGACTAGGTCTCCAAGGGTTGGGAAAAACCCAAGGGCCATCCTGGAAGTATATGTGCATTCATCTCTTTTTACTCCGCAATTGTATATGTGGTTATAGGGTGGGAATCTCAACCATTTCCAAGTAATAAACTATTTTTGACCCGACCCCTTAGCCCGGGGGTCAGCCTGTCTATTGGAGCACTTGTAAATCCCCCACCTAGCGATGCTCCCAACAAAATATAGTTGATAAACATCGCTTAGTTCCAGAGAAGAAGTCGCTTAAAGCAAAGAATCGTAATTACCATTTTTGGCCTCGCTCCTCAGCCCCCTGAGGTGTCAACCCCACAATTGGTGCAATTTCGAACCTCTCCCTTCACCCCCACCTAGTAGTGTTTCTTACCAATATTGTTGTACACTTGTCAATCCTCAAACTAGTGATGCTTCCAACAAAATATAGTTGATAAACATCGCTTAGATCCAGAGAAGAAGTCCCTTAAAGTAATTTAGCCAAATTAACCATTTTGGCCCCCATCCATCAGCCCGTTATGGGGTCAGCCCCACCATTTATTCAATTTTGAATTCCCACATCCAATGTATGCTTCCAACGAAATATGATTGATAGTCAGTGTATAAGTCTAGAGAAGAAGTCGTTTATAGCAATATAGGCCAATTATCCCCTTTTGGCCCTGCCCCCCAGCCGCCTGGGGGATCAGCCCCGCTATTTCAATTTTGAATATCCAACAACTAGGGACGCTTCTAGTCAAATGTAGTTAAATTCAAATCAGTGGTTAAGAAGAAGAAGTCATTTGAACAAATTGTTGACGTACGGACGACACGGTATGGCATAAGCTCACAGTGGTCCTTTTGCAGCTGATGCAAACTTAACATATTTTATTTAGATTGGCATTTGCTTTTATTTCAGACAGATATGAATTATGGCATACAATACTCTTTCGAAAATAAGTTATTAATACGTTTGCGATTCTTGTAAACTCCCTCCCTGTTTATACAAGGTGTTTTGACCCATGTTATGTGCCCAAAACGGTTCACAGTATCTTTACAACATGCGTATTTTAAAAGTTTAATCTAGCGGCCAATTTTTCACTGCAACAACTAACCAAATCTGCACCTACGTACCTACAAGTAATCTTACCTTTCGAGGTTCCACGCATATTAAACTCGTGATTGGATCATAGCCGTGTAAAGATATCTGGCTCTGATATGCATACTAAAATAAAAAAGGCATGTAAGATGAAAATGTAAAATATAAACCTTTTCACATCTTGCATCTGGTTTTTTACAAATCGAGAATATATACTATATTACATGCAATTCCTATTGGTTTTTGGCGAAGGCTTGAATGTGAGGTTATCGACAAAAAAGTTGATGACCGCTGATGTAAGTTTAGTAGCCACGCTACATTACATAACAGTGTTTGTACTGCTCTCTGAAAATTGAAGAAATAATAATTCTAGAAAGAAATGAAAGTATCCTGTTTCAAAAGTTTACCTCGTACAGCATACTGTATTTACGAAGTAAAGCTTTAAACTTGCTCACAGAAATATGACCCAAACAGTCGTTTTTTTCTGTTGTGTTCTACAACATGTGTCAGGGAAAACCAGGAGAACCGCCATTCACTTCAAAACAGTATTTATTAAAAATCCCATAATGCATTGCAAGGCATATACTAAACCAAACAATGGATCCGGAATTAATAATCACGTAATTACAACAATTTCATATATGAAATATTATTGATATTATTTTCAAAAAACGTGTTTTCCTTCCTGTTAAAACACATGACCGAATTGTCAGTTTACAGCGTATATGGTATATACTAAGGCAACAAAACAAAGCTTCATAAAATTCTCTCCAGTGACTTTTTTTCCGATATTTACAATAATCCCTTAAGTTGAAAATAGTACAAAAATGGGATGAATTGTAATACAACAAGACAATTAATGTTATATTAATGTGTATTGAAATGGCTTATAAGCTGTTCGCATGAGTGAAGTATTAACGTACTTACATTATCAGATGGAAAAGCCTGACTCTCACAAATTATCTTGTGACGATGAGGAGTTGGTCGGTAGAAAGATGTCTGCAAATAATCAATAATTATGCTTGATATGATTTTTTCTAATTGTTTATTTAATAAACAATTCCGTTGTTTAGATACGTCAACGCGTTTATAACTAATAACTTTATTCACTGAGTAATTTCATCGATTTCTCTGAACCATTATCATGCTGAAACTCAGATTTTGTGATGAAATGGATTTAATCATTTCTCACAACTATTACTTAAGCTTACGGCAGGGCCGTCGTCCTGACTTCGCTGGGACTTGATCACTTCTGACTTGATTATAATTTAGAATTTAAAGATTTCGTGCTTATGCCCAAACACTAAATAAACGTAGAGTGTCCTATCACTTATCTTCTATATACAGGCCTTACCGTTTCCCTTACATTATTAATTATATATTCGACAAAGACAAGAATAGTTTGCTTGTCTTTTAAAGAAGTTACAGCATATTGTTGCAGAGAAGTATTTAGTAGGGTCCAACTTACGTAATTAGCCAGCAGAATCTATTAAACTGTGGAGATGATTTAATTCAAATTAAAACATTCAATTTTGTTTTACAAAAATTACCAAAAACTCTGCTTCGAATAATTTCATAGTTTTCCCCTTTTATTAGTAAGTGGAACTATAACAATAAACTAAAAAAAAAAAGTTTATCACATAAACATCATAAATTAAATACAAATGTCAGTATTGAAATTGTGTAGATAGATGTGAATGTCTGAAGGCAATTATGGACAGGACAAAATATTATAGTTTATTTTTTTATTTCTTTTTTTATCTTTTTATCTCATTTATCAACATTTCACAAACAGCAATTTGGAACGGGATGAAAGTTGTCTCCCTTCCAAAACATACAGATGTATAGGAATATTATTTATAAAACACGACTTATCTCTCTTTAGACATTATGATTTCAAACTGTTCCAATCAGCTAGATTATACATGTAATTCTAAGATGAAATAGATTTTTTTTTAAAAGCAAGTGTGGTTCATGTTCACAATGTTCTCCACTCAAACATGAATGTCCAAGTTCAAGGTCATTTTTAAGTCTCATATAGCAACACATACTGGTATAAACACCTATAGTGTTTGCTGTATACAACAACAAAAATGGTATCAACATTGAAAACAATCAATTGTTCTTCTATGAAAAATCAATTAATCTCAATCATGTACACAAGTGTCAATACTTCTACCTGCTTACATCTAATACTACCAGAGGTATTAGTATCATTTACATGTCAGTTACATGTAACCAGAGGCTTTAGTATTATATACATGTCATTTACATATTACCAGAGGCTTTAGTATTATATACATGTCAGTTACATGTAACCAGAGGCTTTAGTATTATATACATGTCATTTACATATTCCCAGAGGCTTTAGTATTATATACATGTCAGTTACATGTAACAAGATGCTAAAACATTATATGCATGTCAATCACATGTAACCAGAGGCTTTAGTATCATATACATGTCATTTACATATTACCAGAGGCTTTAGCAACATATACATGTCAGTTACTTGTAACCAGAGGCTTAAGTATCATATACATGTCAGTTACATGTAACAAGAGGCTTTAGTATCATATACATGTCAGTTACATGTAACCAGAGGCTTTATGATCATATTCATGTCAGTTACATGTAATCAGAGGTTTTAGTATTATATACATGTCAGTTACATGTAACCAGAGACTTTATCATTATATACCTGTCAGTTACATGTAACCAGAGGCTTTAGTATTATATACATGTCATTTACATATTACCAGAGGCTTTAGCAACATATACATATCAGTTACATGTAACCAGAGGCTTAAGTATCATATACATGTCAGTTACATGTAACCAGATGTTTTAGTATTATATACATGTCAGTTACATGTAGCCAGAGGCTTTAGTATTATATACATGTCAGTTACATGTAGCCAGAGGCTTTAGTATTATATACATGTCAGTTACATGTAACAAGATGCTAAAACATTATATGCATGTCAATCACATGTAACCAGAGGCTTTAGTATCATATACATGTCATTTACATATTACCAGAGGCTTTAGCAACATATTCATGTCAGTTACATGTAATCAGAGGTTTTAGTATTATATACATGTCAGTTACATGTAACCAGTGACTTTATCATTATATACATGTCAGTTACATGTAAACAGAGGCTTTAGTATTATATACATGTCATTTACATATTACCAGAGGCTTTAGCAACATATTCATGTCAGTTACATGTAATCAGAGGCTTTAGCATTATATACATGTCAGTTACATGTAACCAGAGACTTTATCATTATATACCTGTCAGTTACATGTAACCAGAGGCTTTAGTATTATATACATGTCAGTTACATGTAGCCAGAGGCTTTAGTATTATATACATGTCAGTTACATGTAACCAGAGGCTTTATGCTCATCTTCATGTCAGTTACATGCAACCAGAGGCTTTAGTATTATATACATGTCATTTACATATTCCCAGAGGCTTTAGTATTATATACATGTCAGTTACATGTAACCAGTGACTTTATCATTATATACATGTCAGTTACATGTAACCAGATGCTAAAACATTATATGCATGTCAATCACATGTAACCAGAGGCTTTAGTATCATATACATGTCATTTACATATTACCAGAGGCTTTAGCAACATATACATATCAGTTACATGTAACCAGAGGCTTAAGTATCATATACATGTCAGTTACATGTAACCAGAGGCTTTATGATCATATTCATGTCAGTTACATGTAACCAGAGGCTTTAGTATCATATATATGTCAGTTACATGTAACCAGAGGCTTTAGTATCATATATATGTCAGTAACATGTAACCAGAGGCTTTAAATAATATGCAATTCTCAAGTGCGCCCGTATTGATACATTTTCATACATATCTTAATATTTATAGAATTCTTGAGTTCCATTTAGTTAGTGCACTTTGATATTAAGAATATTTGTATCTATAAAATTGCAACGACTTTGACAGCATATGTTGTGATGGCTTCGTTTTTATACATTCAATGTAATTTATATGTGCGGGCGTAACATGAAACATATCTGCCAACAACAACAAAAATCCCAATAAATGACACTTTAGAAGTAATGTGGTCCCGTGTCATTGTCCGCGCATGTGTGAATATATGACGTTAAATGATAAGATGTATATCTGCAGTTCGTGTAATTATTGCGTGGACCATCTCCCTAACGTTCATTACGTTAACATTTCCCAGGAACATCTCGAAATCGTCTTGTTGATATCTGCTAGTGTTTATGCCGTGTTTACTATAAGTAATACCTGACCATAAACATATATGACGACACGGAAATACGTCAATAAAAACATGTTTATTTTTACGCGGTTCGGAGGCTCCTTTACCTTACAAATGTCACGATTAGAACACAATAGGTTTCTAGCTTTCTATTAAAGAGGTCTGGAAACCGAATACTCAATGCGGAGTCAAAATGTTTTAGTAAAAATGGAAATAATACTTAAGTCTATCTTTGGTTAATCATGTTTTGCTTTAATAAATAGGCAAGCAATTCGAAGTGATACAAAATCCAAACCAATACGAACTCATCTTCGTTGGAAATATAAAAAAAGAGCGCTGGAACACACTACGTTAAGTAAGAACAAACATTAAAACCATTCTTATTTTATCTAAAATATTGTAGATAATTCTCGTAAACATTAAACTGAGAACTATGGTGATATATTTATTCTGTCATTCACTGAAAACTGATCATTAACGTGTGATGACATGAAATTAAAATGATGTCAACATAAGCGCAGAAGATGCAATATAATCTAAAATATTTCGGCAAAATTTACAAAAGTATCTAGACATAGTTTCATATTAAGGATATGCATAGCTCTTAAGTCTAAGTCCATGGCAACAATGTGCCACCGAAACGGACTATGCCAACGGACAGTCTTTGTTTTTTTTAAGATATTAAGATATTTGTGTCATTCATGATAGACCATTTACTGTTATTTCTATTTCTTTAATGTGCCATTTTGTTTACTTTGATTATATCTAATAATGTTTGAAACGTAAAGTCTGTACATTTGTTGAACTATTTATAGTAATGTCATTATAGGCTGAAGTAACATGGTGCATCGATGAACTAATACACTGTCACTATAAGATTTTGTACACTTGACACCCCGATGTAAAACCTTTCTAGTTTCGTTATGTTGACTTACTGCATGACTATTACACAAACGTTGAAACAGATATTATCTCACTGCAATTTCGCTAATCTGTTATTTATTCAAATATTTTATTTTTCTACTTTTGTTTTTTTTATATTATAAATAATGCAGTTAAGCAGGATAGTAGAAAAATAAAATTAATACTTAACAAATTGTAAGGTTTATCATTTACTTACCAGCAATAAATGAAGATTCACTGACAGCCCGTTCATGATGGCTACCTCTCCCGGAATGCCTCCTAGAGTTTCGTTGAAATATACAAACGGTTATTATGAAGAGTTCAAACTTTCTTTAATACTAGACAAATCAACAATTTTTTATGATATATTTCAAAAAGTGCCATATTTCTAGCTGGAATCATTCAAGTACCTAAGTTAGATGCAAAGCATTCTAAGAGATATGTACATTTTGTGAAATATTGTACACAAAATCATTATTAAAAAATCTAAAATTATGATACCAGGAAATCCGTTCCCTTTTTTCCATTCTTATTCAGTGTCTTTTCCGATCCACAAACCACAAACTTATGCAATAAAACTGTCAATCAATGAAAGATTTAGTCTTTCATGCAATCAAAATTATTTTTATAATAACCATAACAAAGAAACATAAAAATTAACAAATAATAAAAACAAATGACTATTGGAATAACCTCATATTCTAAACGCGTCTTCAGATGACTTAAAATCTTGCAAGGATGTTAAACCCAAGCAAACATATAAAATCCGTCTTCTTTTAATTCTTGCCATCTACCAAAGTGTTTCATTTTTTCACAATAAAAGAACAAGCATCGTCTAACCAACGAGTGTAGCCATGTCTGACTCCAGATCCTCGTCACATGTTGCCCATGGAAGACCTGTTGCATGATCTGTGTATCCATGTGCTCCTCTGTCACAAAGAGAATCACTTATTTATAAACCAAACTATAGTGCTCTTCTCCTTCAGCATTGCGTAAGAATTAATATTAGCAATGAGGATACACAGAAAGCACTAACAGATAGAAGATGTCTTCGAACACTGGTACCGGATTGAGAAGTATGGTTTTCTTAATGAGCCATCATTTGATAAATCACACTAGGCAAAACAATCCAAGACAATACTTTAACACTGCTTTAAAATAAAGTATAGGCAAAACATACAAATTAGTATGACTTGCATATATTTGAGTCATTAATTTCTTAAAACAAATACTAACCAAAGAATCATTCTTTTACAGTTGGTTTTTTAATGTCGTATGTAAATAAACAACCTGAATAGATATGTCTTACAGTTTAGCCCATTTTAACAGTTCCATGTCGATGTATTCCCTAGTTTTCTTTGGACACAGTCCAAGAGAGTTAGCAGCGAAATACAGACAATCCGATCCAGAATCCACCAAACTGTGATCAACTGTAGAATGTCAACACTGTATATTAAATTATGAAACAATGTATATGTCGATAATTTTCTCAAATTATTTTGTGCTGACTTATGACCACTTTTGCAATATATCCTTCATTGGTCGACGATTAATATATTGCTGTTTTTGTTATTAATGTTTATCAACCATTCATACATAAACACACACCAGCCAATGAGAATATAAATAAACATTCAATCCGTTACTGTTCACCATGTTTTTAGTTCGAAATATATACGTGTTTCGCGTTATATAAAATACTGTAATGCCAAACTCATTAGACAATGTTGCATATAATATATGCTATTTTAGTGCATGCTAGCTAGCATCGTCATTACAAAAAAAAATTATTCAAACCCTGCTTTAACATATTAATATTGTTGTTGTGATGGAAATTACCACACTCACATGTTTTTGTCCTGGTACTTGTACGACTTTGGATGCAAGGACGATGACAATGAAAAAACACTTGCATACTTATTAACTCACTGGGTCCGTCGTCCGTACGTCAACAATTTCTTCAAAATACTTCATCTTCTTAACCNCCCCCCCCCTCCTCCCTTGCTTGGCATGAACAATCTAATACAGATATTCTACAAGGATTGGCCTAGGGGTCTGACCAATTCCCTTGGATCTTATTTGGAAAATGTTTTGCCATGATTGCTTAGATATCCAGGTGAGCGATGCAGGCCCTCAGGGCCTCTTGTTGAGAATTTGATAGTGTATTTTCAATTGGTCAAAATAAAAGTCAAAGAAGTCGTCTATATATTGCATGCGTACATTTACTCTACATGTATGCACTTACATGGAAAACAATAGTGTGTACATTTAATACAAATGCACAGTTATATCTTAATTTCATTATTTACAACGACAAGTAACGTTGCTAATTATTTCAATCAATATTTCTATTTCATTTCGATGTTTTTCCACTGTCTTACACGAGTTGTTTTTTTTTCCTTACTAACGGTGAATACTATTTTTTATCTTGATGATTGGTTGTGATACTCTTTCATCATGTATAAAACCTAATAGTTGTAACAAAATATAGAAAAAGTACTACTTTACCACAGATCAAAACATACAGTTTGGAGAAACATCATTTCAAAAAATATTTTTAAAAAACACCAGCAATTAGATATAAAATTATGATCATTATATACCTGTCGCAACATATGATAAAATAACTTCAAAAAGAAAGAGAGAAAAAAAGAAAAGCAAAACTCCACCTGTTTGAAAACACTCATTTAAAGAAAACAATACATCAGCCTTAAAAGTAACGTTGATAATCTCATATGTAGTAGAGTTCTTAGGATTTTTTGTTTATGTATTTATTTTACATACATCTTATTGTAAATATGATAAAAAGTACTAATACAACCATTGGAGAAAATATTCCATCAATCTGAATCAGTTAGTAAGATTTATTGATAAAATACATCGTTACATACCTCCTGGTATATCCTTCATTTTAGGAAGACAGAACTCGTGTCGTCTGTCTCTCAGTACGTCTTGCTCGTCCAAGCGTTTAGCGAATTCCACACTAGACATATCACATTGATGAATCTTTGCTATCTGTTTGAGGTCGTTATAAGGGTGGCCAGACCCGATTTTTTTGTGTGTAATTATATCAGAATTTCCTCTGTCTGACATTTTTCTGCAAATATAACACACGTAATTTAAAGGTTCTGTGTCAATATAACCTCAATTTTCCCTTTTCAAAACCAACTAATTCTAGCCTTAATAACAAACCTCGACGGTTTGTAATCCGTTTTTGTAAAACGACGAATCCCTTCCGCACATGTGTGACACCAAAAGAAATTATGACAACATCAGGTTCTTATGTAGATATGATGTATTGTGTGCAAGTAGATATGTACAAAACATGAGACTAGGCGCCCAACTAAATAAACCAAAGTTCGTGAATCACTCATACAATCCAGCCCTGTTGATGCTCTCTGACCCACCTACGTCCAATTCTGCACACGACACTAAGCTCAGTCATCTGATTGATGAGTTCATGATCGCACTGGTCAATAATGGGCAAGCATACATGAAGACGATCGATTGATCGAGGTTTTAGCACTGATATATTAGAAGGTCACAAGGTATATACATGTTGTCCTGATCATTATTTCATTATTTATATGTTAACAAATATATATATATAGATATATATTACAGCGTTTCGTTACACATGATCACCCATGCACGGGATTGATTGTACAGTGGTCAACAAGTTGACGTCACAAGATGCTTTTTTCATCTTTTACTGCTGATATTTCGTGTATCGCATGTCAGTTGTGTTACCGAATATATTATGTCAAAATCCCCCTGGGGGTTTTAATGATGTTTCAGAGAGATATTTATGCTATTGGACCGATACCTTACATTGTAATGATATTTATTATGACGTCGTTTTATACAATGTTTTATGAAATGGGCACTAGTTTTTTTTTTAATTATGTGAAGTTCGCATTACATGGGTAAAACCTAACATATTGGTCGGCGAATCTAGTGACGTTTGGAAATATTAAAAAAAATTAAAATTGGAAATAAATCATATTTATATCTTTGGGGTTGTTTTTTTTTTTTTTACTTTTATTCCTGTCAGAATCGGACGAGCATGACCCGGTTTTATTACAAATGCTACCAAGATCAAGACCCAGATCTTATACAAACTTCATTACAAACTTAATGAAAACCAATGCGTTTACTTGCGTCATCTGCAGAGTAAAGCGAAAGGTAAAACGTGAAGGAGTCATGTGATATTACATCCTTTCAGTTTTTAAGTATAAAACTTGAAGTTTCGTCAACTACCGTATTTCATATCAAGTGTAGTTGTTTCTTTTCGTGATGTTACCATGATCAATTTACGTATACATATATGATAAAAGTGTTTACGTCGCATGAAATAAATTATGAATCAAACATTGTTTCCATGTCATTATAAATAAACTTCAGTTTGCATCAATATATTGCTGCAGAGCTAATTGTATTTATGATAAATATTGCATTCATGACAATGAATTTATCCATATAAATACTGAAACAGTCTGTCACACCTGGAAACAAGGTTATAATCATTATCGGGATTAAACTTTCATCTAACATTTCAAATAATACTATATGTGTTACGTCAATCATGACGATGAGATGACCTTTATATTATTAGGTTTATAATATAGTTTATATAACTATATTACACTATTTTACTTTTTATATAGTAAGTACACTATATGATATAAGATATATTTTATTGGAGTTCATTAACACATCTCTTATCAGACACTTGTCTATACTACAGTATCTATATCTATCAGGAATGAGTGTCCATTTTATTTATAGTTTATCACATTGAGAGATATGTAGTGTTACAATTCATCTCAAGATAAGATGATTTTGTATTTAAGTATACGCAAAAAAAAAAAAAAATACAAAATTAGACAACGAGCAAAAATATATTTTCTTTTTCCTTTCGCAAAAAAAAATACTCTCGCGAATATAGAGCTAGAAATGCACCTGTTAAGATTAGAAAATGCGAAAATCACCTGGTGTTCATAATAATTGTATAATTGTACAAGTTGCAGTCAACACACAAATAAATAGGCAGTCAGCTTTGCTTTAAATACATATGAAAAGTTGGCCAGGTTATGATCTTGTTGTCAGCAATTCAGGTTTTCAAACAAACACTAGAATTAAACGACACATATTCTAAATGTTAGCGTAAAAATAGAATTATCGATACAATGAGTCCACCAAAACTAAACTTACTTCGTTTATAATGTTACCAGTCTAAGTTAAATAATATTCTTTATATGAGTTTTGCTCTCTTGGAGACGAACACTGAGTACCCACGATAAAAACTTTCGTGAACGGACCTCACTAGCTGCAATTTTGGTAAAGAATACCCTCCAATACTTTAGTCGGACGCTATCTGACAAACACTGAACAGACCCGAATTATTTTCTGTAATCCACAAGACAAACAATGTACGTCATGAAACTTAAAAAATCCAATTTAGTTAATATAGAATACAGTTCTTATGTTACAGTTTAATGATATTGTCAAACTATTATATTTAACGTATCCTTAATCTCTTGACACAACTATATCCAGTTTGATAGATATACACTTACCGATATACGCTGTAGTCTATCCCCTATCTGTCTCACAGTATGTAGCACTGCTGGCCGTTACTTGCAGCGGTCGATAGTCACCTACCTGATATTTAAAACAATTCTTATTATTCTATATATATCATTTTAATTCTGTTCTTATTTATATTACGACACTAACATAGACAGCGAACGTGCTTATGCGACCACGTCAGTCCATTGAAATGAAGGTGACGGAATTCGAGTCGATACTTGCAACAATGTTGTTTAACCAGCGAGCAGATCGTATCCAATTGACCAGTGGTGGTCATCCGTATAATGCAGTATATAAGTCACTTACAAGATGTAATCACTTCTTAAAGGTTATCGATAAAATAGACTGTTGGTCACCATCGTCGTTAAGACTCAGATAATACACATACCATATATGTCTTTGTAAGGCTATTTATATGGCGAGACTAGTTAGGGCATGTCTGTCCTGGATAGTGAAAGAATTGGTTGTTAGCGTTTGCTATCATTGTTTCACGCTGGTGGGAAATATCGGTAGATTGTCATAGTTGTAAGATATAGATGATATTCAGCGGAAAATTATTACACATCCTCTGCGTATAAAACGGTTTGTTTGGTTGAAGATAATCATGCACACAAGTTGAAAACCCAACGAACAGACAACAGCTTTCGGATCATTTTCACATACAAACATACCTTAAAATGTGACTCAGACAGTTGATGCTTTCACCAAGAGTTTCCCAAAATAATTTCTATAAAGTAAGCTTCAGACGTTATTTGTAACACACAATTTTGAACCAGTGCCAATACGTCTTTTCCGACATAAACATGATATTTGCAGTCAAATGTTACATGCATACTTCCGTTGTAAACATCGATCAGTAGCAAACCAACTTTGTCGAAGTAAAAACATTAGCAAAATTAAGACGAAAATGGCTTAATTTTCACATCCATCCTGAATGACTAGTTCCCCTATCGTTGGACATGTAGTCAGGAACCGCACACCAATGGTTTTTTTTTATATTTTTGTGGGCTTCTCTCAGATTGTTTACTGTTATGCGCTTTAGACCTGGTGGTCAGTTAAGGAGGTCATAGTAAAATGGGTTCAATCGTTACACTTAAAATATTCCGCTCTGGATGATATAATTATGTACCACCAGAAAAAACCTCAATGCATTCGAGGATGTCATCATGCATATATATTGGGGTATCGTTTAAAGAAAATGCAATGAATAGGGGTGGTGCTTCAATTAGATAGATAGGAATGTAGTCCCGTTCATACGTATTTATATTTTTTAATGTTGAAGCTGAAGAGGACTATTAGGATTGATAACAGTATTATGTTGTTTTAAGTATCTTTTACCTTTTTTCTTGCTACATTGCGTCAGCCTAGCTTAAAACAAACTTACAGTAGATAAACCTGTAAGTATATGAAGGAATGCATTGAGTTTTAACAAACTTAAAATTGAACAGTTGTATTGTAATTCAAACCTTATTATGTTAATGTGATGTGGTAAGACACATCTGTACTCTCAAGGGAGGGGTTTAAGGATTTATCATGCCTTTACATACACAGCTAATATATAATAATCACTGAAACAGCAGCATTATTTATGTAGCTGCAATGTTGTTATTTTTTATTATTTTTAAACGAAATCGACAAAATAACATCAATGAGTAAATGAAATGAAACCATACCTACATTGTATAACCAATAAGGCCTACTGTTTTGTTTAGGATCTGTAAATTATAGATTGACGTTGGACTTTGTTCTCTTGTTTTTGACGTAATAGAATATTTTTACTTTTAAATTTCGTTAGCTTATGCGCATTTTCCCCTCTGATTTTCTACTTATGCACCAAAATCTGTTTAATATATATGTTTGAAATAATTCTTGATTACGACGAGGGGACCCGTTAGTTATTTTCAAATGTGAAATATTAATCGTAAATCGTCAGCAGCTTCCTAAATCTTTACTGATTAACTTTACACGCGAGTTTTTGTAGACACCTATATTTGACAATAATGAACAATAAGATTTTTTACAGTTACTGTGTATGAACTTGCAAAGGTATGTTCCTTTAACGGATTTTGTTCGTCCGGTTTTGGCGGCATATTAAGAAACAAATTTATTTACAAAGTAATTTCAGAATTTCGTTATTGGTAAAACTGTAGATATGTATTATATAACAATAATGTGTGAAAACGAAATCCTGAATTGTATTTCGAAGTTTGTTTGAGAAGTCAAATGAAAGCATTGCGAAATCATCAGCCATAAAGATTTATCTTTAAACATTGAATATGTTTAACTGGCAGCGTCATTATATTTAAAACTGTGTTAATCAAACAGACACTTCCAAAAAAGAATGAAATCTGTATCATCTTCTTTATTACAGTATACATAATACAACTAAAAGGAATCATTTAAAAATACGAAAGGAAAATGTTGGTATTAATTTCGTTCTAATTAACATATACAGTTAGAGTTTGGTATACACATGTAGAAAAGTAATACTCTTGCCAAATATATCAATAATTGGCTTTATACGAAGTTATGGTCCGTAAACGCAGTATATTGTTCTTGCTATATTTTAATGTATGATAAGTTCAAAAACAATAATTATATTTCCAATTAATGAGAATACTTATATCGCCATATTTCACCACTTTACATTTGATTTACATTTCATTTCCGCCATGAGAAAAACCACGAAACAAACAGTTAACCAGTAAATAATATACGATACGTTATTTCGACACAAAAAAACATGGGGGAACAAAAATAGCCTTCGATGTTTACACACTATTTGAAAAGATAGACTTTCACAGGTAAGTGAATAAATAATCACGTAGTTAAGAACGATTCTTCCGAATCACCTTCTGAATTTAACTTATAGAATCTGTTCAAGGCTAATAACTAAATAACAAGTTACCGAATTAAAATAATTCTGGTTGCAAGTTGTTGCTAAGTGTCATTATAGGTTGAGAAAGGATAGGTATCCTTCACGGAGAAGCTTGAAAGACAAAATGAGAGGGAAATGAGGATCAAAGTATTCTGGCGAATAAGTTGACACGATGATATTCAATACTACATTAACTGATATACTGATTTAACTTTGTTTAAATGGCCTTCATAAAAAATCTTAGGGACAAATACTTATTAAGCCACAAACTGCCAGAAACCAAACATGCATTAAACAACGACTTGTATATGCATTGTGTCATCCTTCTGAAGAGTTTTTTTCAACTCTCCAGTTACAAGTATTTTTCCAACAGACTCACTCTTTTTAGAATGTAATTAAAATTGTTAATTTTGGTCACGTTGGTTAAGAACTGATTCTTTCGTAGCAGGATTTTTAGTGGTGGCGATATGTTCCGAAGGCAGTTTGGATAAAGCGGTGTTCCGTCTGATCCTGTTCAGAAACTTGATATATCCTGGAAGATAAATGCAATATACATGCAAAGTCATTAAACTAAAATAATGTGTCTTATAAAAATCCGTATCTACTAACAAAATAAATGGAATGCAAGAATAAAAACACGAATAGGGTTTTACTGAGACAATCATGAGAACGGTACAGGAACAGAAAGATCACGCTAGAATATCTCCAAGCTTATCAGAAAAACAATATTTACCTGTTATTTACACTTGTTCTAGACTACCCAGGTCTGAGTCTTACCTGCCCCTCCTGTGCCTTTATCACGAATAAATTCAACACAGTTGTTTCTGTCTGGTCTCTTAGCCGGCTGCGTAATGTACCTAAGTTAGTGAGGTTTTATTACATACATTTTGGTGAATGCAACATGCGACTTTTATATGAAGCGAGTAGTACGTTCACATACAAAGAGTGTTCAAGTAAATTCCCTAAGAAACAGGGGCGCCGATCGCGAATTAGGAGATCTACTTTTGATAGAAATGAAGAATACAATTTACCAATGCAAAATTGGATTACTTTGTGGGTGATAAATATATGTATTTAGATATTAAAATATTGCAAACATCATAAGGAAGCATATTAAATTTAATTAAATCTAAAGTTATCAAAGAAAGTTTGGTTTGTAATTTTCAAACTTGTTTTTTGCAACTCAAATATATAGACAAAGAATCAAGCTTTGTCATAGTTTTATGTAAGATACGTATTGATCAATTAATCTGGATCAGTTATTTTTTCTGACAAGAGTAAAACTTGAATGAAAACGAAATGCAATAAAAGTGAATGAGGAATACAAGCAGGGATGTCTTCTAATTAACTCAGCAAACATGTATGCATGTATATGTATGTTACTTACTCATACGCCTTCGTTATATGGTGCCGTCTAAATCCCTGTATGGCCATGATACATGCGTTGTACGATTCCTTCACAGATTCATTGAAGCTACTTTCCACTAAAAACACATAATCGCGACATATGACTGATTAAGTACCATGATTAGGCAGACAGGCAAACATGTTTACAGCATATTATATTAAGTACGATATTTTGTCATATTTCGCGAAAACAAATTTTCACTTTCTGCTCGTGTTCTGTTGTTTTACGGCAGTCTAAGGTAGAATGTACCTGAAAGTCTGGGAAATATAATTTATATCTTTTGATTAAATGTTTAATTATATGCTTTTGTTATTTTTTAACTAGGATTAGTCTCCATACGCCTTTTTTTCATCGACGATGTTTTGAAAATACTTTTTGAATACTACGACAATGTTATTTAACCTCGAATTGAAATTTGTTATCAGCTTCGGTGTCTGGGTCGCAGGCTTTTATGATGTTGGTTGTATTCCATAGCTCTATGGTAACTGTAATATTTAAAAGATGAATCAATTCTAATAAGAACTACAGTAACTGTTCAGAAATTAATTTTGGAAAATTCTTTTATTTATACATTTCGTTACCATATTCTCTTATTCTGCTTCGGTCTTTTATGTAGTCGTACAGATCTCGATGTTCTTGTAGCATATATCCTCTCACCTCGTCCAAGTATTTCTGTTCATCTAGAATAAATTAACAGCTATATTATTAGTAAAGAACAAAAGAAATTGACCTGGGTGATGTCTCTGTCAATGCAAACAATGTGTAAAACCTCCATGGAGTTACTTCCAAAATTGTAAAAGTAAAAACAACTTTTACTTTAACTGTCTCCATTTCATTTCATATACAAAAGAATCTATAAAAGATAGCTTATAATAAAGTACCGAGAGTTCAGTCTAATTATTTTTTATATTTGAGCTAAGCATTAATAAAACATCGACCAATGAAGTAATGCTTTATGTCTTTATTACATACGATATTTATGATTGTATGATGATGAAATAAGGATGAAATCTTATTTCAGGTTTACAGTCAAATCCTATTTATTGCGTCACTGATCTATTTTCAGATTGCGAACGAAAGATTAAGTCGTTTAAGAAAAGTAAAAGCAAACCAAATAAAAAATACTATTTATAAAAGCTTTGGACCTAGGTTTTATTAAACCGTTCTTTATATTTGTATTTCAATATATCCTCGAAAACCAACACTAAAATTAATTTCGTATGAATATAAAGGAATTGATAAGTGATATGAAAATATAACATTAGCAGACAAGAACATGGAATTGATTGTATTTGATGATGAAACACCAGCAAAATATCTTCAGAGTTATCATTGACATTCAGTTAAGTTATGTTTTTCAGATCGTGCGATAAGCTGTGCAACATACCTTCACTATGCACGATACCAAACGCTGCGTCCAACATTTGCAGTGTACAGCTTTGCGCGGCACTTCCGCCTCTCATCTATACAGGATAATATAATTAATGGAAAGCGAAAGTAGATCTACTTTGCTAGTATAGTGTTTGCCAGCTTTATAATACCATATCTTATATTATAGTTATGTAATGATTAAAATCCTAATTAGAATAAGCAGGGAGATATATTTATATTACTTGCATCAACTGTGTTGAGCATATTTAAAAAGGCACGTGATGCTACCGGCTCAGGCATCAACTATAACATTTTATACGCCTGTTTATATAATTTAAAGGACGCGAACACCTGTTAGATCAAAGATTACACTTTTTTATCCGAAATATAGCTACATATATTTAAATGTTATCATATGACCATTTCCATAGCTTGAGAGTTCCAAATCAGCCCGAGGGGCTGGAGACACAATCTGAGACAAGCTGAGGGTTAATACGGAATAGGGTATTGAAAGAAAAAAACATCGTGCCAGGATATAACATTATTATATTGATTATCACATATGTAAAATAGCCCATATCAAAGACAAATATTTAATTATGATTATTATTCATTAATTTTTGATACCATTAAAGGGGAATCCTGTACTCCCTCATAGATAAGTCCGTTTGGTAGCGAGGTATTACCCAGTCCCCACCTGTAACAATCATAATGATTAATGACAAAAGGTTTCACAAGGTCACGCGTCATACTAGCAATATCAAATTTGAAATATCCGAGTATTCTTAGCTTAATCTATGTTATATTTGGCCTTGTGTTTCTCTTCATTAAAACAAGAATACACAGTAGGGAATGTACATTTTAACACTTTGCAACCTTGATACATAATCATTATAATAATTTGATGTACATTTATACGCCATTTGTAAAGTTAGTTAGTGGGTACAACAAAAATCAAATAAAAAATAGTATACGCTTTATTTAGACATTTTTCATATCGTGATATTTATCTTTTATCATGAGTAATATCTGGTGGTCATGTAGAGTAGGCGTATTTGTGATTTTAATAAAAAAAAAGAATCTATATTTGTTAAGCTGATGAGTCCGCGTGCGGTGTCGAAATCTGACATATAGTAGAATGTTTTTGTTTGTGTTTAAGGTCCTATTAACAACTATGGTCATTTAAGGACGTGCCAGGAATTGGTAGTGGAGGAAAGCTGGAGTTCCTGAAGACAACCACCGACCTACGGCAAGTACCTGGGGACTGCCCAAAGTAGGGCTCGAACCCGCGACCCAGTGGTGGAGGGCTAGTGGTAGCATAATGCCAGACGCCTTAAACACTTGGCCAACGCGGCCCAAGTAGTATTAAGGATATATGTTACCTTACACAGCATGTATTATAGGTGTAGGAGTAAAATATTGCTCAGCATATTACCCTCACAAATTGTCAATACAGCAAAGTTCCGTAAGCGATACCAGTGAGCGCATGGCTGTGTACCTTATAAATGTATGATCAATTCGTTTGTACCTTTCAAATGTGTCAATCAATTCTTGTTTATATATGTCAGCAACTAATCATTCCGCTTTCAACTTTTGCATTCTCATGATTTATTAATGTTTCTCTCTAAATAGTTTGCAAATAAACGTATGTATAGTAAGGTTATGTCTATCATTAAACGTTTACGTATGTGATATGATACGTCATACCCGCTATAGAATATCCGTAGACGGTCATAGTAAAAGTTCGGCGCCAAACCGTCTGAAATATAAAAGGAAATACAAAACACCGGTTCTAAAAACAAGGGCGCTGGTCAATTTGATAATAATAAAATACTCTGATTTATGAACAATAAGGTTACTTAAAGATACAATTGATTCTGTAAAAATAATATCAGCATTACACAGATCAAAAGCCAGTAATTTAAACTTTTAAGTGACATTCAATACACTGCTTTCCCCACGGAAACTTGAAGTGACAACATAATTCAAATACAAATATCGAAGTAACTACTACATGACGAACACAGAGTTTTGAGTAACCTGGTAGAATTAAGAAACTGTTTGTCTTCCTGTAAAATAGAAACCTTACCTTTTATATTTTGGAAAATGACCACCATTTTGTTCATAACCTGTGGAATAACACTCAACGTCTGTATCAGTAGTTGATCGTGGTGTGTACCTCTTTGGTGGGTATAGCCAATGGCTTCTATTATTGACTGAAAAACAATTACGATCTCATGAAGAGATATTTGTTAGGACGCCTGTTCAGAAGAACACAAAAACGTGATGTATGGCGTCAAAAAGACAAAGCAAAAAGCTAGGGATCAAGAAACGACAGGAGAATACCGAAGTGTTAGCAAAACCATAATTCGAACTCGATAAAAATGATAAAACTGTGACAAAATATTTACAAAGGAAATATTTACATGGAAACCTTTAAAAATAGAGATAATAAGACCAGATGTTCCGGAAGGGGATAAGCGTCTTCTGTATCATCGACGACACTCGAAATGCAAATCTAAGTAAATCCAAGTAGTCACTTCCTCATAAATATAACGAACTTGAAGAGAAGCAACGAATAAAAAAATGCACAATAGGCGTAAACAAAACCATCGACCTTTCATAGCGCACAACGACATAGCTTATTTCCTGATTATGTCATGTAGGCAGTCATCAAACTAGCCTATAGTATTAGTCAAAATACATATCTTGAAACCTTTTGCTATAAGTCGATAGCAATTGCGTAATCGTGGTTTATATAGAAAGCTCTTCAGAAATCGATTAACTGCGACATATTAACACCATAGGCTTTGGTTACGCTTATTTACTGTACACAAACATTGTACTCCATACAGGTATTCCAATGGGGACTTTCTGTGTATTAAACATTAAGCATGCTGTTGATTGTTGTCCCAGCACCACAATAGTTGTATCTCAAACACAACAAATACTTATTATAATGGGGAACCGTTAAAAAGGTCCCCCAAACTACCAAAGGTGGGGTCAACATTTGGCCTCCACTTTAATTTCCTTTATTCTTTTGCCATATGCAGATACATAAAAATTATCAATAACTGCATAAATGATTATTCATAATTGATACTGATAACCGTAGTGGACTTTCTTGCATAACACCAGGTTAAGTGACCTGGGTATCCGAACAAAATGACGGATAAATATCACAGGCAAATGTTAATTTGGAAATGAATTATGATAGTGTAGAGTGTATAAAATTTCAGTTATTTTGATACTAAATAGGTCATATTGGTAGACATGAAGTAAGCGTAGTGATACTTTTAATTGGAAAAAACCTGCAAAATTTTCACAAAATTTAAAATAAAACTAACATTGTTCAACTTGCCTCTATATAGTTACAATGGTAGTCTATATTTTAAACTTATTTAAAAACTTCCTATATATGTATTCTGTCTACAGAATCATTTTTATGTAATATCAAAACCGGTAATGTACTTTTTTAGCATGCCAAACATGATCAATGCCCGATTTCACATAACCTAGAAGATTTGACTATCGATGTTTATTATGATAAATACCGATATTTTTTCTGTTTTTGTATCATACTAAAACACTTTATTATGTTAGGCATGTTTTCAAGTTATGTGCAGCAGTAATAACTCATAAATATGTATTCTGTCATAGTAATCTTTCCTCTGGATAACTACTTTAGGTTGAGATTGTGTTATAGACAAAGCTATGCAATTATCTAAAGATTAATAAAATAATCTTAATAACAAAGCTATTATGCACTTTATTATATCCCGCAACGAAGTAAGGGTTGGGGGTATACTGGAATCAGCTTGTCTTTCCGTCTCTCTGTCAACTCAATCTACAGTAGTGGACCAATTTCAACGAAAGTTTCCAGATATGATAACTGACACCTGAAGTTGTGCATCCAGGTATTATTTTTTCATTCTGACCATTTTCCCCTCAAAGTTATGTCCTTATGATGAAAAACCATTGTCCGTCTTTGTCCTCCAAAACTAAGGGATCAATTTCAACGAAAGTTTCCAGATATGGTAACAACCATCTGATGGTACGCATCCAGCAATTCTTTTTTCACGGAGAATGTCCCTTTGTTGAAAAACACTTGTCCAGACAACTCCTCCAAAACTATGGGGCCAATTTCAATGGAAGTTTACAGATATGGTAACTGCCCCCTGACATTGTGTATCCAAGAAGTATGTTTTCATTCCGACCCTTTAAAAAGGAGTAATGGCCTTTTCTTGAAAAAACCTTTGTCTGCCTCTGAAACTTCTGGGCCAATTTCATGAAAGCTTACAGATATGGTAATTACCCCCTGGTGTTTTGCATCAGGGTAGTATTTGTTCATTTCGACCCTTTAGGCTAACAAGATGTGGTATGAAAGTAGACTATGGATTGATTTGCAATGTTTTGTCTTACAGTTCTGGTTTTATAGGAGCGGAGGATTTAGTTAATCTTTGGCTTACATTTCTAGTTATTATTTTTGTAGCCTTTTGGCCATTCATTAAACAAAATATGAAGGTATATTACACTATTTTATATCGTTAACTCTAAACAAATAAAGCAAGGAAAGATACCCTTGTCTGACTCCCCATACAAAAACATTATTTCGGCATATTTGGTTTTTGGGACCTTGAACAAAGATCAAGGTCATCAAAATTAACAACACGTCAACTCATTTACATGAACAACCTTCTTACCAAATATCAACACCCAATGACCTTTAGCCTGGAAGAAACACAGGTTAAAGGAAATGTGGAAAAAAAGCTATGTTTTTCTTTTTTGGAACCAAAAGTAGTATACGACAAATTTACCGGTTTTCAATTGTTTTGAAATTCCTGATGTTGAAAGATATTATTAGTAGCTAACTTTTTAACAAGTAAGAACAAAAGACTAGTTTTAGAACTATATTGAATTAACGTGTCAAAAATGGAAAATTTCTCATAAGAAATGAAATTTCACACATTTTTCTGCTTAATTCTTGAATAAAAAGAACAATTCTTTATTGAAATAGTGTAATATTCGGTATCAAAGTAACAGTTGAAATATGTGCACACGATGATGATACAATTTTATAGTAATTGTGCCATTTAAATGCTATAGGAGGAATTGTATTACTGCACCTTTACCACCCACACAGGTGTAAGTCAAGGAGGTCCCATTTATCATCAAATGATTTCTGAAACTAACTGTTCCTGATTTAAGCCTCCTATACCCATACCTTTTTGAATTTATCTTCTTTTGAAATTCAAAGTGGGTGCCGACGCTAATATTAAATCCCCATAGGCGTTGACCCTACCTTTGAGTAAAATATACCAACATTTAATTCCGACCAATCAGAAGCGGTGGCGGCCAGCTTGGTTGACCGATCGGAAAAAGAAAGGTCATTTGCATTCCCCCTAGCCATGATAAACACTAATCGTTGATGTCAATCCAATAGATTTTGAGAAATGAGTCGGACGGAAAAATATTACGGCGGAAGAAGAAGAAAAAGAAGAAGAAGAAGAAGAAGAAAAGGAAACGGAGTAAAACCAATAAGTTCCCCACTTCGTTTGGGGGACTTATTTAAGGGGTGGTTACTGAAGAACTAAAGTGCAATTAATTATCTTGTGTTTTTGGGACCAAGGAAAACACCTTTTTTGTGAATGAATATTGTCTTTCATTCTGTTTTGATTAAAAGAAGTAATAAAGCTGTGAAATAAGTATGTTGCTGTTTTATCAGGGAAGATGAAAAGATATCGAGAATACCTATAAATCATTTTTATGAAACATATGTTTCACAAGCATCGTGTCATGTCATTAATAGCTTATTAAAGATTGGTCGATCAACGGTTTGATACATTTTGTTGGGGGATTTGTGTTGGTGTTGTGTGCTATAGGTTTGGTTAGATTGTTAAGGTATGGCATGTGTCTAACTCAAATGTTGCTGCATTTGTTATATATAATACATCGGTAGCAATATGGAATTGGGATACCTTGATAGCTGGACCAAACCTGTGCTCCACCACTACGTGTGTGAGAATGAACACGTCAGCTCCTGATCCACCGGGAGTTGTGTAAATTGGCACTAGATTTCTACTAAACAAAGGGAAATAGTACGTATATATTTATGTCTGTACATCGATGTATTTTGTTAGTTTGTCAGCCTGCAAATTATATACTCCATATCAAATTAGGGAACCCAAAATATCATAATTCCTAAATTATCAACATTTTTTATTTGATTTAATGTATATTTATTTGCTTATTCTTATCATTAAATATACATTTTATTGTATTCGTTTAGTATATACAAAGCCTGTTTCTAAATAATGGGACGGGGGAAACCATAAAAATATATCAGCAATAAAATAAGGGGAGCATAACTAAATTTCAAACACATATGTCACAAAAAAGGAACATTCCTTTACTTCAATTTTCTTCTGAATACTTACCTGACCTCAAATTCCCTGTAAAGACAAAAGTTTTCAATTGTTCCAAACATTCAACGATTTATAATAATAATAATAATATATAATATAATACTAATATAATATAATATGATACTATAATATATATAATTCGCTTTTAAATCTTACGCGAGTTCAACACCAAAACTATATAAATGTGGTTAACAGTATTGGTAAAAATATGTAAGAATTGTTTGAAAAAATCCAGAAGTGGATTCGGCAGGGAGAAACTATTCAGCCCACGTTTCACCTATAGATATTTTTTGTTTAAAAAGAAGCGTTTTATCCCTTCAATCATTTCTATCTTTCGTTATCACTTTGAACAAACAATAACTTACTCATCCACGTTTAGTATTCTCCAATTTGATAACATCATACTAGGGTAGGATATGACTGGTTTCATCCCTAAAGCATCTGATACCTTCACCAGCGGAACAGCTAAGCAGCTGGGAAGTCGCTGAAAGGTAAACGTAGGACAACCACCAGTGATTGCGTCTATCAAATTTGGTAATAGATAGAGTATGCCAAAACTGAAATACGCTGCACCATAAAGCTGTCAGAATTCATCGGGGATGCTAGTGGGGGGAAAGGTGAAAATTGAAAATGCTCTTATTCTTGAAACAAACGAGAAATTACATAAATCCCCTTTTAAATGTTTGAAAGTTAGCTTACAAAGTTTCACCATCAGTCAAAATGGATGATACGTTAGTAAACTTCATAATATAAATCGAAATATAGAAGACACTAAAACGAAAACAAAATCACCAATAAGAAAGCCATTATTCTCATACAAAATCCGAAATTGCAACCAGATGCTACGATAGGTAAACATTTCTATCATCACAAATGTTCCCGTCATGATTTTCTGTCATAATCAAGGATACATTTCGGACATCAACTATCTACATACATTCTTTGGTTCGACAGGATGCATAATTTTGTTAAACATCTATTCATGCTGGAATGGCATACCTGTGCTGCACATTGACCTCCATCCTGCCACACATATCCAGCTGTTATGAACGATAGCACTGTATGAAGTTTCAATAACTTGCATTTTTCTTTTGGAAGCATCAACGCGTCTTCACAAAGCTGTGGACATAAAAAATCATATCTGGTCGTGGAAACATAGAATAAACTCCACATAGTACGAGGTTTCATTAAGTCAATTATTTGAAGTAATATTATAATGATTTTCTTGACATAAGCGGACCAACTGTTTCCAGATGAGAAAACATGAGAAAACATTGATTGACTCGTAGTTTTCGCCGCTTCACATTGAAGTGAAATATGGATTGTACTGCTAGATAGCAGGTTGGTATTGACTCCAAACACCTATTGAAATGGTATTGCCGCCAGTAGTAATCGACGTCACTAGTATAAAAGCCATATTTAGTTGATGCCACATATTAATAAACTGATTTTGACGAAAATTGATGTTGTATTGAAATTATACAATTACTAATTTTTACTGTGAGCATGAGACAAATAAAAATGGATGGGTTTTTGCTTGTTTGTTTAATTCAATGAGAATATTATAGACTTGATCCTTAGTTGTTAATGGGACGCTAAAAAAAAACACCTTAACTTAAATTTCTAGTAAATTCAAAATCAAATCACACACTAATAAGTTTTGAACTGTACAATAAAAATGTATCGATACATGTGTATTTTATATTTATCAAGTAAAAAACCCATTAAGAGCACCACAAAAAATTGAAGAAATATGCTTCAATACATTAGTCCCACCTGTCAACAAGCAAAAAAGAAGAAAACATGTAAATCAACATTTAAAATTCTAACAATCTATATTTACATCGATTTATACCTTTACTGTTACAAAACGATGAAGTAGTTTCTTCTCCACTAAATCAGACAGCTTTTCGGCCGCTTCTTCATAGCGACCCCAGCATGATGGCAGATATGCCTGAGTTTATTGTATGCAAAATAAACAAGAAAATTAGGAATAAGAATAAAATGTTCTCCGTATAAATATGGATAGAACTCTCAATGCAGTTGATATTTAGACAATTCGGACAAACAAATGAAAAACCAGGAAGATTTGTCACGATCACATTTGCGTTTGTATTTTCATATTGCAGATTATTTCAACCATACACTAACGAAACAGGTATACATAAAAGAATATAATTACAATCAGAACTTATCACTGTTTATTCTTATTCTGAAGAAACAAATAAACAATTAGCAGATACACTGATTGAACATACTTTGGAACAGTCAATCAAGAACCCAGTTTTCCTTGAAACCATAAAATCTCTTTCAATTTCGTCCATGGTAAGTAGTTTGGAATTCATCATTGACTCTGTCAAAATAAAACCGTATCAAGTGTTGTAATCATAAATAGATACTTTTCTAAATACCATATATATTAGCAAAGGTATGTGAGATTTACGTTTGTTCTCCAAGTGTATACTCCCAAGGCTATAGGGTTATCGTCCTTATTGAAGATATTGGTAGACAATATGATATCAAACTACTGTGGTACCTTGTGGAACTTGGGACATGTCGTTAAACTATTCAGTACATTGAATGGCCAACTTCCATTAGTTACCAGGTTCATTTATTACACAAACCCAAGCTGACTACATTAAATCATATTTAGAAAGGTGCTAGCTGACACCTCCAGTCTGACCCTTGGTATCACTAAACAGATGAAGATCTGCAGAGCGAATACAACTGCCATGAACGGTGACCTAGCCTTTTCCTCCTCATCAACCACTTACAGTATTATAGTTGGAGTTGTCAAATAGCAATTACTATTAAAAAAACATGCATCAAACTTACTAAACGAAAAAGTTCAGGTCAATGCGACGTCTTAAAACTCCAAACAATAATGTTCTTATGTTCACAATGGCGTCTCATACGCTTTTCCTTTTTGACCATAATCAAATTTAGCATTTTAACGCGTGTGTTATCGTCACCAACAGCATATCGTAGGGAATATGCTATTATTTTGTTAGATATGAAGGTCGATGCTTTCATTATGCTCGTTTTAGTGCCTTGCAGTTTTGTTGTCACTACTCGAGTTCTCGATGTGAGGACGTGACATAACTTGGATTTGACCTAGATTTACATTGCGGTTGTCGGCGATGAAGCAGAAGACACGTACCATTTAGGAACACCGGACTTATACTACTTCTTTTTGAAAACTCTTCATGTAAATATTTCTTTTGTTCAAATTTTGCCCCAGTTTACCGATTTTGATTTCGTTGACACTTCGGTTGTTTCCTGTGATTTTTTTATATATTGTTTTCGTATTGTTTTTTATGTTAATATTTCAACAAAAAAGAAAGTCATATACCTATGAAAATATGTACCCGCTTGTTCGAAGCAAGATTGGTTAAATGATCCATTCAATCATATATTTTTTTTGAGAAATATCAGACAATTTACACATGTTTGAATAACTGGACCCATCAATTGTCATATCGCCTTAACTCATATACATTAATATATAGCACGATTGTATCGAGCGGATGAATAAATCTAACTTGTTATGGGACTAGACCTGGATTCGAACTCTGGACTTCAGAATAATATGTACTGAAGGATAAAGAAATGCAGGGCAAACATTTGAGGTGATTTAATGTTATGTAATTGAATGTTACACATACTATTTTATATACTATTAAAAATACATCTTTTATAATCAAATTATCAAATTTTCATTTTTTGCCACATCTCTCCAATTTTACAAAACTGCACGATTCTTTATCGTATGCTCCATTTATTATTTTATTAAGTTAAATCATATCCCCTCACGCCCTTCTGTAACATAATGTTGGTAGTTTAAGTTTTTGTAGTCTTTCTGAGTAGGGCAGATTATACATTCCCGGTAAACTCTTGGTTGCTCTGCGTTGTACAGCCTCGAGTCTTTCGACATCCTTCGCTGTAAATGGGGCCCAAATAGAACTTGCGTAAACCAGGTGTGTTCTTACAAGACTTTTGTATAATGGAAGAAAGGATTTATGACTCATATAGTTCAAAGTCCTTTGTAATAGACGAACATTTGATGAGCTTTCTTGATTTTCTCGCTTATGTGAATTTCGAAGGTTAGTTCTGAATCGATAATTACGCCAATATCGTTTTCCTCGTCAGATATTTGGAGGTTGATTTCTATCGGTTATTATGTCCTGTTAGGGTTTTCTGTGTTTTTCAGTTCCCGGCCGATGTGCATTTGTTTACATTGCTTTTGGTGCAATCTTAGAAGCCAAGTATCGCTCCAGGTACACATGGTATCCAAGTCCTTCTGTAGCATCACCTCGACCTCGCTCTTTTCTATTATTTTTGATATCTTCTTATCATTCGCGAACATGTACATGTCCGAGTCAACTATATCTGGGAGATCATTTACAAATATAACAAAAAGATCGAGTCCTAGAACCGATCCTTTGGGAATTCCCGTTGTAACATTTATCCATTCGGAATACACCTCTTTTAGTGATACGCATTGTTTTCCTCCATTCAGAAAGATGGTTATCTACTTAATAATGTGATCGGAAAATGTTTGCGCGCAGCTTGTTTATTTGCTCTCATGAAATTATATATCATAAAGCTGACAGGTCGGTAGTTTCCTGCAGTACTTGTGTTTCCGTTTTCATGTATTGCACATACTCGTGCTTGTTTCCATTCGTTGGGAATAGTTCCCTTTTTAACGTTTGATTAAATATGATTGTAAGCGGGAACGCTATACTGTTTGGAGATTTTTTTAGGAATTCTGGATGCATATTATCTTATCCTGCATTTCACTTGTTATCTTAGTTCAGGCATGGATCAACTTATTTCTTTAGTTGACAGGATAGGAGTTAAACCTTCCTATTCCATAACAAAAACACTCTGGAAAAACAGCGAGCTAGTATATCTGCTTTATCTTTGTCTGTAGTGACTTTACTGGATGTAACATAATTTTGGTTTTCGTGTTAGTCTCCGATTTTTACTTTTGATTTTGATTTTTACTTATGTACTAGTGTTTATGGCTAAAGAGTGTTCGAAGTTCTTTCGTAATTTTCGGGTCAACTTTCAGACTTGGTTTCTCACCTTGTGATACCGAGGTTTTACATCCGGGTCAGAGGTATTCACGACTTGTTATGACAGTGAGTGTTTTAATCTAATTTTCGTTAATATTTCTTGGTCAACGGGAAATGTGTGTTTGTTGCTTTTGCGAGGTTTAATTGTTTTTGTTGGTACTAGCTTGTCCACGATTTCGTATTTTATATTATTGAATATCTTCCAATTTTCATCGATTTTGTTGTCCTCTTTAAGTTTGTATCCCCAGTCGATTTTATTAATTTCTTCATTTATTGTTTCAAAATTTGCTTTGCTATAGCATTTCTTAGTAATGGATCTGGTGGTCACAGTTTCCTTACAATTGAATTCCAAGATAATTACATTATGGTTACGTTTCCCTATTGGGCTCTGGTAATCTACTGATTATATTGTATTTTCCCTGTTGGATATGACCAAGTCAATTCTATGTGGTGTGTCGTTTCCTCTCCAATTTGTAGGTTTTTCTATGACTTGCCACAAAAAGTTGTCTTGTAAACAGTGGATAAATAAATAAATCCTGTGTTTCCATGCTATCGCCTTTTGTGTTCCATGTATCCTAATCTATATCCGGGTAGTTAAAGTCTACCATATTCAGCATATGGGAGTATCATTTATTTGAGACTTCGCTTATAAATTTTCTTTAGTTGTTGTTGCTGCAGAGCTACACGACGGGCTGAACAGAATTCTAGTCACTTTGTTTTATCAAGTTGTAAGACTTGGAATGCACTTCCAATTGATGTAAGGTCATTACCATCTTTTAACACTTTTAAGCATGGAGCTATAAAGCCGTAATGTGATTCATACTTTTAGATAAAGAAAACAGTTTTTAATTTATGCTATATTAGCGTATATCCTGGTAATTTTGATACTTTGCTATATTAGCATATATGTATGTAAGGCTCCGGCCATTTAACTATTATCAGACCTGCAAAGCATGAGATGTATGCTTTCTGTGATATTTGATGTATTGTACTATATAATTGCATGTAATATTTTCAGCAATCTCATAACTTATATTTTAGATGTCATTTATGTTTAATTTATATTACTATGTTTTAAGAAATACTATGTAAAACTTACACATTTTACTAATATAGAGGACCCTGAGGGAGATTAGCCTTTGGCTTAATTAGGGTTTTTTATCCTCAATAAGTTTATTATTATTATTATAGTGTTTTCTTTTATAAAAGCACTGGATAAAGTCTTGAGTGTAATCAGCCCAACAGAACTCAAAACATTAGTAGTGCATTTTATAAACTGATTTTCTATTCTTATAGTAACAGTGATAGAGACCTAACCCCCGGGCCGGGAAGTTATCCCTAGCAGGCACTTTCGTTGAGGAAGCACTGGATAAAGTCAGAGTGAAATCAGCCCAAGAGAAATCAAGATATTGTGCTTTAGTGCATTAAACAGATTTTCTATTCATAGTGACCCATTGACCTTTGACCACTGGACCTGAAAATTTATCCCAAGCAGGCACTTTCTTCCAGGAAGGACTCGATAAAATCTGAGTGTAATCAGTCCAACATAATTCGAAATACAGTGCACAAACTGATGTTCTATTTATAGTAAGTGACCTTGACCTTTGATATAAAAGGCTGAAAAGCTATCCAAAGGCTTAAGCAAACATTGTATTGCACTAGATAAAGTCTGAGTGCATACGACCCAAAAGAGCTCCAAATATTGTGCATGAAATGTTTTTCTATTTATAGTAACATTTACCTTGAACTTTGACATCGATGCCTCACAAGCTACAATTTGTATCCTAAGCAAATACTTTCTAAAATAATAATGACCTCAACCTTTGACCACCAAAGCACCAAAGCAGGCACTTTCTCTGAGGCAGCAGCCTGAGTGACATCATCCCAACAGAATTCTAAGTATTGTGCTTAAACTATTTTTTTATTCATGGTAACAGTGACCTTGACCTTTGACCACCAGGCCTGAAAAGCTATTCAAAGCAAGCACTTTCTTCAAAAAAGGACAGGATAAAGTCTGAAAGCAATCCAACCAACAGTACTGAAGATATTGTGCAGAAATTAAACAAGAAGCCCAAGGGGACTGTATCGCTCACTTGCTTCTAATGCAACTTTGAAGCTGATTAGGTCATTTATGTGGATGCTAAGCTCATTACCACTTTATTCAAATATAGCACATTTGACCCCTGTGAAATTGAATGTAGATCAAGGTCATTAATTTGAACAAACTTGGTAGCCCTTTATCCCAACATGCTACAGACCCAATATCA